AGAGAACTTCTGGAGTTGAAATGAAGCCTTCAGCAAAACCCACACATGCTCAGACGCTCACGGAGCACAAAGGCTCAGGCGCTGCTGGGCTGAGGTGGGTGACTCAGGAGCCCTGGGGTGTCCCGCTCAGCTGCCCGGGGTCTGTGCAGCTCCCGCCCCACCACCCTGCACGGAAGCGCCCGCGGGAGCACCGTGTGGGAGCCGTGGTGACGAACCCTCTGCTGTGTCCATTCTTCTGGGAAGGGAACTGATCCTGGTCTTCGCAGGAATTCTCACAGCCCCTGGGGTTATGAGATGAGATCATCCTGCTTTCACATTGCTTGTACCTGTGGCTTCTGTCACAAAACTAATTTTCTACCACTTTTGGAAATCTCGTGAGAGATGGACACACCCCTGGTTCAGGAACCCCCCCCCATGTCCCTCCCCACAACCGATTAGTGGAGTGACCACAGGGTGTCAGCCTGGAGGAAGCCTTCTTTTAGCCGTGCACTTCCTATTTGTTCAACAAAGATTTACTCAGCGTCGATTGTGCTGGATGTGGGGCCAAGACTGTGAACATGAGCAGCACGTCCCTCGGGGGTAATCTGGCAGACCTGCCTGCCGGCGGCGTCGGTGTGAGGACAGGGCACTCAGCGAGCAGGGGCGCGGCTGGGGCAGGGGCAGAGGCAGAGGAGGAGCGGGGAGAGTCCTTTCTGCTGGTCCCTCCCACCATCTTAGCGCAGCACCAGGACGGGTGAATAGAGAAGGCACAGCGCTGGCAGAGGCTGGGTTTGGAGGTGCAAACTGGAGGCCTGAGAGCAGCCCATATAGCCTCAGTGGGCCCAGGCCTGCCTCGAGGACACAGCGCCCTTCTCAGCGTGTACACCCCCAGAACCGCAGCTCGCTCACAGCCTGCAGTGTTCTAGGGTGTGCAGACACGCCCTCTAGGGAGGTGTGAGTCCAGAGAGGACGGCAGCTGTAAGACGGTCAGGGTGACAGCTACAAGACAGGGCCATTCTTCCACTCCCCAAGCCAAACTTCAGCGGTGGCAAATAGGACTTTGCTAACAGTCGAGTTCTCAGCACAGACGCGCTCTCGGGCCAGTGTACACATAAACACTCTTGGAAGATGGAGTTCCGGGCATCTTTCATCCACCCCTGCCTGTGTGCAGCTGGTGGAGCGGGGACTGGAAGGAGACCCACCCTGTCTCCTGTTCTGGGAGCGCCACCCCACAAGGACACGGGGGGTCTGAGCCAATGCAGATAAAAATACCGTGCATTTCAGAGACGTGGACAGTGAATTTTCCCACTGGGTCTTGACACAGTCAGGGCTGCGGATGCCAGCGCCAGCTTCTGGCGGCTCTATCTTGGGAGGAAGTGGAGTATTTCAGAAATGTTCCTGTTAATTTTATATCGAGGATCTGGACTCATGTGTGAGAAACTCTTAAAAAGGGATTCCCAGAGGATTATCCAGAGGCACTTTGGGGCTAAGAATAGCGCAGAGGCTGCAGGCTGCTTGGTGGGGGAGAAGAAGCCCCTGCAAAAGCGTGTGCTGCTATTTCTTCAAGTCATTTTTCTGCAAACTGCGTTTCCTAGATACATCCTACGAACTCTTCCTTTGGAAAAGTATGTCCTGGGTATTATTCCATTAAAGCAACATGGTGACTCTTAACTAGTTGCCCAGTAGTTACAAAGGAAGCCTTAAGGAGTTTCACTTGGTGTCACGGCGCCCTCAGTCCTAGGTGCTGCGGGCAGAGAACTCCACGTCTGTGGAGGCCGAGGTGTCTCAGCCCACCAGCTCCCTCCCTCCTCAGAGCCAGGCGTGAGGGAAGGCTCGGGAGGTTCTGGAGTTGCTGTGGCCCCTTTTCCACAGAGGATGGTGAGATGGTCAAGGAGGTGACGGCAACAGACACGGGTGCCGACAATGCAGCTTGCTGTGTGAATCCCTCTCTGCACCCGGGCGGCACAGGGACAGGGCTCTGTACTTCTTACCACAGCCCTAGTGGGGTGGGGGTCGTACCACGATCCCAGTTTTAACTTTTAGAGATGGAGAAATGCAAGCTGAGAGGCATGAAGTCACTGGCTGAAAGCCAGGAGAGCTAGAATGGGGCTCAGGGCAAAGCTGTTGCTGTCCCTGCCTGAAGAAGCCTCAGGCCCTAAGAGCCACCCTCGTGCCTCGTGGCTATGAACCCCTGCGGGGGTGCCTGTGGGGCAGCCGCTGCCTGCAGCTCCACAGAACAGTCTCATTGAGAACAGATTCCTGGCCACCACCCCAGAGCCCGGAGTCTGCATCTCCGCAGGGAAACAGGGCATCTCCGTCTGGATGGGCTCTCCAGGGGCGCTTCTGCTGTAGCTGGGCAGGGGCCCACGGGCCGGCATCGGGCAGCGTGGCTCTAAGGCAGGGCCACGTCTGATTCTGTAGCTAATCCAGGCCGATGCTGCCCTCGTTCCCCAGGTCTGCAGGGAGGGGAATGAACACCCACGTGAAAAGCTTTCAAGCCATAGACGTGACATGTGTCCAGGCTGTTCA